TTGTTTCGTTTCTTCTGTAAAGACGGTACGTCTTGTCTGTTTTGCAATTTTTTCACCTTCTTCAAGTTCTATAATAAAAATAAATTTCGTCATGAATGCATTTGCAATAAAAAATTTACGCAGCATACGCGAGATCACTTAAATTACCTTCTTTCATAGCCTTTCTCTTCGCACTCAAGGCATCATGCCTTTTTTTGACTGCAATACGAGCCTTATAGGTATTATCATAATTCAGTTTTTTGACAGGATCTGATAAAGTTTCGTATGCCTTTGATATTTGGTGAAACTTTTTAGTGGCTGTATTGAAATTAAGTAATAAAGTAACGTTGAATAAATGTCACGCGAAGGTATTCACAAAACTTGAATCTACGAACCTGCTTCGGCATTTGAACGATTTTTATCCGGATGGAATTTTATGGCAGCACGACGATATGCCTTATCTATTACTTCCTTCGGATCATTATAACTAATTCCCAAAAGTTCGTAATAATCTATCTCTTGTTCTTCAGAATTCATTTATTTTGTTCAAAGGTGAAAAAAGTAGAAAATAACGTAACATCAATGTTTTAACTGCATATGACTTAATAAATCACGTGAAATAACTTTGTATATACTGCGCATAAATGTACGCGTAATATGTACAATGTATGCGCATATTTTAATGAGAATTTACACGAATTAATATCAGACACGATCGGTCACGAAATTGTAGTGAATTATAATGCAAAATTTAAATGTTCGATTGTCTATTATGTGATTAACACATTAATAAGTGTAGTAACCGGAATTTGTAAACCAATGAATAAAAGAATTCCTGTGAAATTCGTTACTTTGGTCAAAAATTTCTATGAACTCTTCAGGACGAGATAATCACCCTTATAAGTTGCGATTTCTTTTGTAATTGAGATAAGGCGATCTTTGTTACGAGAATCTTCTTTGATTCTGTTTTTAAAGTGAAGAATTAGATCGGGCACCTTGACCTTTTTGGTGACGATCAAGTTCCTAATTTCGTCCTCGGAAATCAAACTCCCTCGTGAATTGGACGGCAGGGAATCTCCAACAGTGGAAACCTTTGTAGAAACCTTTTGTTTCTTGACCGATTCGGGTGGAACGGGTCTAACTTCGTCTTCACGTTTTATGGTAGACTTGATAGATTTTTTGTTCTCAATAGGTCGAGTAGATTGCGTATCAACACGAGCGCGCTTAACAGGTTCCGAGGTAGAATCACCTGGAAGAGATCTTTTCCCAGAGGTAAGGGAGGTAGTCTTCGGTCTGCCGACAACATTAGGAGTAGCAGCTAAAGTTGATGACGAAGATGCAGGGTTGACTAACTTTGGTTTCTGGATGGTTTCTTTTGCCAAAGTTTTAGTTGTAGCATCTCCAAACTGCTTAATGGCTCCATCAGGAGTTTTTATCTTAGAACTAGTGATCGCAACATTAGCAGAAACCGGTATGGCACCCTTTCCTTTCATTGGAGGATTTTGTTTAGGGGCCGCCAGTTTCTGCTTTGCTGCGGCCTTAAGCTTCGGGGTTTTTTCAACACTTTTTATCTTGGAGCCCGTAGGAGCCTTAGATTTCGCAGCGATTAACTTGCCAGTCATCTTCGATTTCGTTGCTAAACCTTTTCCTTTTTCCATGGGTTTCTCAGTTTTAGCAGATGGCGTCGTCGTAGTAGATCCTGTGGCAGGTGGAGACTTCGAGGCAGGAGACGAATTTTCTTCAGATTCAAACTCGTCACTTTCACTAGCATATGGATTTGACTCTCGGTCGCTTTCATATGCATCATTGTCATCTAATTCCCTAATCAACTTCTTCATTTGTTTCCCTTCGGTAGTCAACTCGTCCCCATTATCGGACAACGAAGGATCATTAATCTCGAATGGATGCTTAACCTTTGCTTTAAGTTTTCCCACCTCTTTAGTTTCTTCATCAAAGAGTGGGTTGGCATCATCGGGAACACCCTAAAGCAAAAGCATAGATAAAAAGTAGTTTTTAGCAATTTTGACTTAATAAAATATATATATTGTACATATGTATGTATATATAATTACCTCATCGTCATCTTCAAATACTTCATCATAGTCCATCTCTTCCTCATACTCTTCTCTCGCCGGCCGGCGTTCATCACCTGAACCATGCAAATCATCTTCTCCTTCTACGGTCCTAATACTAGACTTGGGATCGTATATCCCGCCTTCGTTCTCTGCAACATCTTCGGTTTCCTTCCCTTTACCAAATCTTCTCATCAACCAGCGATCGTTATCCATCTTTTTTGCCCGAGCCATCTAAAGAAGAAGATATTTTAATCTCTAAAGTTACACATAGATTGTCATATATGTGCAATGTATATTTAGTTTACTTGTTCTTCAGCTTCTTCAATAGTCAGAGTCCTAATTTTAAGTTTGCGTTGAAACTCGTAAAATCGATGAACCGGAACGACCCTGAATTTATCTCCCTAAAGAGATTCATATTTAGGTAAATATTATGAACCCTAATAACCTATGTCTTAAAGTTTCTAGAAAACCATACCTGTCTAAGTAAGATGCAATACTTTGCACTGTCACCTCCTATGTAGTCCCCAACGAACGTATTTTCACCACCAAAATCTTCCAATACCCATGGAATACTTTCCTCGGCTTTCAGCTCTCTCGACTTTGGATCAGCAAGAAAAACTTGGGTTGTCTTCTTCTTGAAAAGGTTTTTCTTATTTTGTCTTGCACCCGCATAGGGAGCTATCAATGATGCATCAGCAGTTCCTGTAGTAGGTGGTAATATTTGTACCGATTTGTTCCCAGGGATGATACTTTGATTTTGGCGATTATTTATACCACCATTTTGTGAAGGTGCTTCGGGATCTCTCCTATGAAGTTTGACCGGCGCATTTAATTTTGTAAGATCCACTTTCTGACCTTTGATCCTCATCACATTTAACTTCTTTTTACCAACAATGGATGATGGTGTGATAACAAATTCAGCCTTCAAAGTCAATTTGGGTTTCGGCATTTCTAGCATTTTGGGCCTCTGCATACTTCGAGGTAATATTTTTCCTGCTTGTGAACGATTAGCTGAGTTAATCATGACACCATATTGTTGAATCAAACTTGGTGAATTAGATCTACTGGTCGTAGCGGGTACGACATTATGAGGTCGACCGAAGATTTGGTTAACTTGAGGCACGGGGGTAGGTCTATTTTGCATATTTACCGAGTGAACGGAAGGCAAAGGAGTCGGAGGCCTTGATGGAACATTATTTGTGGGATTGTCGATTAACATAGGAATCATCTGATTCTGTCCAGATCTGTTGAGAACATCTGAATTCAAGGTAGTTGAAGGTCTGTTATTGGGAGTAGATTGCCTAATGGAAATAGGTGAAGTCGTCCCGGGCCTGATAACATCAATGGGATTTTGGGCCGGATGCCTCAACATGCCAGGTTGATTTATAATCGCATTAGGAGGAAGTGACATTGGTGGTTGTTGTACTCCAGAAATATTTTGGATATTTGTCATTTGACCGTGAATGACTTGCTGAGTTGTAGAAAGAATAGGTCTGCCATCTGTGTCAAATTGGTGTCGACCAGCCATGTATTTATTGTAGAGTTGTTGAGTTTGCAGGAATTTATAACATCAGATGGCTTGTTTGTGTAACAACATGACGCTATCTAAGATTTTTGGAATACTTATCTTAATTTTCAACTTAATCCGCGATGTCAACGCTAAGAAGGAACTGGTTTTCGGCTCGAACGAGTTTATTTTTGTCCCGCCCCGCAGGATTTTCCATTTTCCGTCAGCACACATATACGCAACGTCCGGCACTTGTTAATCCAAAGACTTATCTTTCTCAGCGATTTTATTCCGCCGATACTACTCTTTCTCGTAGTAACATTGAAACTAGGATTATTGATATACTTAAATCATTTGATAAAGTTGATCCCACAAAGGTATAAATGCATATTAGTTTGTAGTTTTTTTTATACGAAACTCGTTGCAAATTCTATTGAGTCTTATTTATCAGATAGTAAATTTTTTTTATTATCAGCCTTAATGTTTGGAAAAAAAAAAAAAAATGATATTATTCATATGGCGTGACTAAATGCTTTCACAAAAATAACACTATAAAGGTAACTCTTCAAGCGAGGTTCGCCGATGATCTTGGGTTGGATAGCTTAGATACTGTGGAGGTTGTCATGAACATTGAAGAGGATTTTTCGATTGAAATTCCAGATAAAGATGCTGACGAAATTCGATCGATCAAAGATGCCGTGGATTATATTTCCAAACGCGAGGACGCTCATTAACAGAGTCGACAGTAGATGCGATTTAATAAACCTTTCTTTAAATTACTAAAACCGGATCTTGCCCTCTACTTTTTTATTTGCATTTATAAAATCTCAAATAAAATATAATATAGAACAAATAATTCTGGTAAATTTCAATTTACAATAAAAAAAATTATAGGACAAGATCTCCCTTTAATTATTCTACTCTTTTTAGTCAAACACATCACCTGTGTTTAATCATATCAGTTTACTTATATAATAAGCTATTATAATTAAAATAAAATTTTTTATTTATTAGTTTGAAATCATAAAATATTTATTTTTATTATACTTAATATAACTAATATGCTATATTAAAGGTGCAAGATATTTTTTATTTTATATT